CAATACCGCCACTGTCATCCATCGTTGTTCACTTCGCCTTTGCCCAAGGGCGAGGGAAGGTGGACCTCAACAATTACGGTGGCGGTGTTACTTTTTAGAGGTGTAAATAGTTGCATATAAATGGTGGTTGCATAAAGTAGGAACTGGCTCAACTCTATTTGCCCAATCCTATTGAAAAACAGGTGGGAAGTGGATGTTGCATATAAAAAATACTTGCATAGAAATGCGGCTTCCATCTCACTACACCGTTCAACTAGATGGGTCGGGAGAGTTGTTGCAAGGTCGACAAAAGGGTGTCAAAAATAGTGATGATGGTAACTAATGGATTATCTCTAGTTTAAAAGGGAATATGGAAATGAGGTTTGGTCTCGTATTGTATGTCACATCTATTTCCATCTTTTAGGTGGTGGTGGGGACTTGGGTTGCATCATGGGGAAAAGAAAATACACCGTTACAAACTAAATTGAAAGATAAAAATAAACATTGAAGTAATACCATTGAAATGACTACGAACAAATGGTGGAAACTATTGTTCATTGATGTTGAAGGTTTTTGAACAAGAAATAAACAGGTTCTGAGTAATGGGGGTCAACCTATGTGCTCATGGGGGTGGTAATGGATTCAAGATGCCAAAGTTCTTTGGGTTTATAGATCCGTTTCTAAATGATTAAAGTGAAATATATATCTAATAATAACTGTAATTTTATAAGAACCTAACGGTTGAATTTTGAAGATTCCTTTAGAAGGCGTTTTGTGTAACAATCGCGGTTTCGTTTTTATCAGGATTCACGTCCCAATCGCGCCTTTAAATCTAAAGGATTTTATGGGCGGCGGAATAGGAATTTTAAAATCACTTCTGATGCTATGAATTTAAGTTAAATTGTTTTAGTTTTTTCCAATAAATTGGAAGTCATCATTTTATAAATCGCTATTTTTCAGAGTAAAAATATTTTCAAATTTTTTTTTTTATATCATAAACCATTTTTTGGGCGAATATATATTTTTTACAGAAACCATGTTTTTACATCACGCTTTCTCAACTTATCGGTCGAAAAAGCTTGTTGGGAAGTTAAACAAAGTCCATCATACGACATTTGTTTGTGTACGTTGGTAAAATGAACTCCAGATCCCCCGGGGTGATTGATGTCAGGGCCATTCTTCGGCGATCGGGGGCCGTGGGGTTCCAAGAGCCTCCCCATTCATGAAATTCACTTATTCCAGAATGGCTCCTTTAAGAAATATTTCAAACTCTACTGAAAAATTCTCCTTTTTTTAGTCATTTACTGTGCGGAACCATGGGTCACATTTTTTTAATATTTTTATTGACGGGTCTCCATAAAGGATTGCGGATAAATTTTTGCGTGTAGGGCAGCCACCCTTTTGTGAGATTATTTTAAAATGCGAATTCGTGTTTGGCGCCAGAAATTGCGCTTTTGAGCTAAAAATATGAGTAAAAAAATTTTAAGCTGCCTTTTATTATTCAGCGCCCTTTAAACAATAATCATTAAACTATGAAAATGTTTCTTGGCTTATGTTGATAATTTTCTTTTTTTTTACGGATGTCAGGTTCATCTGCGCCAGCCGGGGGCCATAGGGGTATATTATATGTTGTAAAAAGGCGTTTTCTTTAGTGCTCGTGGGGCAAAGTTAGATGGGATCAGATGGAAAGCGTTTGCCATCTTTCTTAAAACCCCAACCTTTGGAGAGAGACAGTTGAAAGGTAGAACGGAAAATGTGCAGTTAGGCGTCTTTTTTATTAAATGCTAATTTAGTGTTTTCATTGTAAGGTGCATCAACTGTATCTTTTTTCCCTATCAAAATAAACTGCATTTACTGCGGAAACAATGCACTTCATCCTATTATATATTTTTTTTGCCATTTTTTAGATTTTTTATTTCATGTTTTGTCTGATGGAATTTACAATTATTTATCTACATCATCTTGACTAAGTCTTTTTCCACTAATCATTTTATTAACAGTGCAAATCCATTTTTTTTTTTAGACTTTAATATCTAGAACCTTTTTTATTTGTATTATTTCTGAACGATTTATCATCTAAGAAATAGATTAACATATTAGATAAAATAAGGAGCAAACTATATTCTTTGAATGTTTGTTCTATTCCTCGTCGCCTTCCAGCAGACTCTCTTGATGATTCCATTTTTTTCTATGGCAAATTAATCTTTGACAAGCTTGAATTTATGTGAACGATACATATAAACTAAGTATTAAATAAGGAACTGATATTTTTCAATAAGCCCAGCTGCAATATCTGAAATACGGCATTTTATGTGTATAATTTATCTATCATAGTTTGATGGATCTTTATTAGAGTCTATTTTCCACTAATAAAATATAATCTTACCAGAAAAGTGTGAGACAGTTGTAAAGGCATCTACTGAATGTATTCGATTTAATTTCACTTTGTATATTTTAGTTGAACCCATGCGAATTTATTAACCCTTTTAGTTTATAATAATGATAAAGCTATGTACAAATTATTCAAAATAACTTCTATCATCTATTCTTCGACAATATAGCTGGAGCGATATTAAGCTTAAGCAGTTAAGATTTGTATACATTCTACATTACTTAAAGTATGGATACTATTATAGTTTATATTTGATGTGATGATCATTACTGGAGCTCTATAGTTTCCATTTTTTATATTTCGATCATTTATTCTAATCTATATATAGCTACGGAAGCGTATAGGAATTTCAATACTCCAGTGAATTATTGAAGTTTTTGAGTATTATATGTGATTAAAAAATTTTAGAAATATAGTGCTTTTTTTGTTGCTTTCGATAAGGTTTTGATTCCTGAGACAATTTTAGGTGAATAAACTTTTATCGGTTTTTATTTAAGACTATTTTGTGTTAACTCAGCGGATTTTCTATTCAGGTTACTCTATTTGAGTAGGAATCATGTCAAATTTTAGAATAAAGAGTCCAGAAAAGAACTAGAAACCAAAAGCCTTCTGTAGGATACTACATACGAGATCTATTTACCCCTCCTTCCTAAAATGGTAATAATAATATATCTACCTTTCTTTCTAAAAATCTTAGTATCATCCTCTAACTTACGTATTTTAGGATCATCAAAGAGTACTAATTTTTTTTGTAAATGAGTGTAATCTTTTCGGAGCATGTAACAAGAAATGAACAAATTAATACGCTATCAGATATATTAAAAACAAAGATAAAATTTTGATTTCAATACCACGTTAAGATATATAGATAATACAATGAACTTATATTATTAAAAATAAAAATCTTATCAAATCATAGTGCAGTTAAATTTATCTAATAGATAACATTTGTAGCAACATATAAACAACAAAATTATCTAAGCAGTTCTTGATTGCATATTTTTCATGCACTCAGCTTTAAAAGTACTGTTCTCCTTCAAAACAAAACATTTAGATTTATTCTACATTTAATGGTTGTTGCTATTATTTAAGAGTAATATTTTGAAATATTTGCTTGATAATTATTTTTATAAACTTTGACACTGTTAAGATTGGTTGTATGCTTGATATCCTGATGAAAAATTACAGAGATTTATAGAAGATGAAATACATATATTACTTGTCAACAATTCCATCTTTTGATACTTTCTATCTGTTTATATATCTTTTTTTTTAGTTGAATCGTTACTATCTTTATTTTCTTACATAGAATTTAAATTATTATCGATGCATGATACCATGTTTAGTGACATAAACTCTGCCACAGAATGTGCATTACTATTTCCGATAACTATTTCAGAATGCTACGAGCTTGTTTCTGTGACAATGGAACGTGCTCATATATTTCTTAATTGTATTAATAATATTGACCAAAAGAATCGCACGTTCTCAAACACAGCCGAATATCTTGATATCACCATAAACGATTTAAGTGCGTCTGTTTCACTTCTTTTTGTCATACAGAATGTATTTCCAACCAAAGAGATACGAGATGGGTCTAGAGACCTGATGAACAAATTGAATACATTTTTTATTGATAATTTTTCATCAAATCGGAAACTATATTATGCTTTGAAGGATTTGAAAGAGAGTGAATCATATCAAACTGAGTACATGGGAAAAAAGGGTCGAGATGCCGAGTATTCATACTGGCTGGAAGAAAAACTGTCTCATTGCAAGCTCAGTGGAACGGAACTTCCAGAAAATGATTTTCAGAAAGTAACGAAGTTGCAGGAGGAAATCGCTGAACTATGCATAGCATTTCAACAAAATATTAATGAGGATGCGACAGAGCTTCAGTTTTCTACTGATGCTTTGAAAGGTGTATCAGAGGATATTCTGACCTCGCTAAAGAAAGGGGATGATCATACATACATTTTAAAAATTGATTATCCAACGTACTTTGAGGTACTGAAGAGTTGTGAAGTTGCATCTACGCGCCAAGCTATGTATACTGCCTTCAATAACAGAGCATATCCACTAAATAATGATGTTTTGCGTGCTGTCATTAACAAACGGCATCAACTTTCTCTCATACTTGGATATGTTTCGTATGCGCATCTTAGTTTGGAGGACAAAATGGCGAAGTCACCCGATGTTGTGCAGAGCTTTATAGATGAACTGATACCGAAATTGAAAAGAAAGTGTGCAGATGAAATTGAATTAATCAAGAAGAATCTACATCCGAGTTGTTCTCTTATTGAGGGGAACCTTATGCCTTACGACCTAATATTCATGATAGATCAAATAGAAAAAACACTTTTTAACGTGGATGAAGCTAAAATTAAAGAATACTTCCCCATTTATTCCACAATGAAAGCCATTTTCAGTATTTGTGAGTCTTTTTATGATCTTACATTCACCCGAATTGACAACGGTCACGAGTTATGGCACAATGATGTCTTCACAGTTGTAGTGAAGGATAATCGAACCAATAAGCTCCTTGGGCATATCATTCTCGATTTGTTTCCACGCGAAGGGAAATGCAGCCATGTCTGCTGCTGCTCTGTAATATCGCCAGTGCGTATTAACAACAGCAAGGACGAATTTTACCCGGGACTTTCGGTGGTAATTGCTAACTTTTCAGTGGGAACTAATGACCAGCCTTCATTATTTCGACACAGGGATGTTCAGATACTTTTTCATGAAATTGGACACGGTATTCACAGCCTCATGGGCCGTAGCCAGATGTCAATGTTCTCTGGGACTCGAGTCAAGCTTGACTTTGCGGAATTACCCTCTAAAATTTTTGAAGAATGGTTGTGGGACACAGAAATATTACAAATGGTTTCGTGCCATTATCAAACTAAGGAAGCATTGTCAAAAGAACTTATTGAGACTAAGATTCGCTCTAAAAACGCTTTCAGTGGTTTTAATACGTTGTGCCAATTGATCCACGCGTCTTACTCCCTTAATATTTTTGGTATCCCCTTTTCAGCCCAACCGATCGTCAGGCTCGATACCTCTGAGCTTTTACACGATATTCAGTCTCGGAGTATTCCAGGTGTGAGCCACATGGCGAACACTCACATGGAAAGTTCATTTGGCCACTTAATTTCCCAGGGAGCTAGCTACTATACGCACATGTGGTCAGCTGTTTTCGCGTTGGATATATTTCAATACATTAAATTGCACAACGGCCTACTGGATCCTAAAATGGGTCGCCGGTATGTGGATAGCATCATTGGAGTTGGGGGTGGTAGAGATCCCAACGAATTACTTCGTGAATTCTTGGGACGCGAGCCAAAGAATGATGCCTTTTTCCAAAGTATTGGTATTTAACTTCATTTTTTTTTTAACACTTTACTGATTTGTAAGTCCATATTTATTTATATAATATAGTGGTAACATATCGAGGTAGCTATCCTGTTTAAATTTAAGTTCATTTTTTATCCATTAATTACTTTTTTTTTTCATAACCAAAGGTTTAGTGATAATACCTTTTCTCTTTTTTCTTTATCTTTCCAGAGTTCCTTGTTTCAATTTTTCTTTTCATTTTGTAAAAGAAATCTGTTTGATGGGTGAGCAGGGTATATTATTTATTTATTACGTTAGAATGACTTATTAAGGAGATATGTGCGATGGAAAACGCGAAGTGATTTATTTATTTTTTCATTTACTTCGTCATCATCTATATAGGGCATTTTTTTCAGAAGAGACCCATCTGCGTCTTCATCTTGTAGGTACAAATACTGAACAGTATCTAATATTTAGAAAAAAGAATACCTTGGATGTAAACTTGGATAAATATGGATTAGAGTATTATGTATGTTCTAGAAATCCCACTTCTGTTTTTAATAAAGGCAACTAAAATAGAATAAGATTTTTGTGTTTACTTTTTATAAAAATATTTGTTTATTATTAATACAATGCAACGTTTTGTTTCAAGATTCAACAGACCGCTTGGTCTGCTCGCCACTTCAAAATTTTACCAATCAACTTCACCAACCCTTGAGACCGATCTGAAAGTTGTGAATTTTGAGGATGGTTCAGCCTATAGGCAGAAGAGCACTTGGGGTCTTCTAAAGTACTTTTTCATTTTAAAGTTGTGCAGCTACGAAAGGATGGTTCAAAACTCAATTCAATACATGCGTTTTCTTGAGAAAATCTTTGGCAGTAAAATAACATATGACTTTTTTGTGCGCCGGACTATTTATGACTGTTTCTGTGCCGGAGCGAATGATCATGAGCTCAAGAAAACCATTCGCGCGCTAGTTAAGGCGCATATTGGTGTCGTCCTTGATTACGCCGTGGAGGCGGATTCCGAAGGCTTTGCCCCGGCCCCTGGGATCCCCGAAGCCCCGGACCTTTCGATGGGTAGCCTTGTGAACAAGTGCAACATCCAATACATGATGAATGAGAATATGTTCGATGAGAACATGAAGCTTTACATGGTCAGCATCATGCATGCCTCTCTGCACACCCCTGTAGGGACCAATGGTCTGGCGGCGGTCAAGGTCACCGCGATGTGTGACCCACAGCTGTTGGCACGAATGTCGGCCATTTTGATGTCGATTCATCAGAGCTGGTATACCTGCTTTACCAAAGAAAAGGCACCCAAATTGGAGGAATGTCGTATTGTCATGGGGGTGGGCCGTGAGGACCAGGTCTACATCAGTTATCAGAACCTCCGGGAGGGATTTGAGCTCCTGGGGGATGGGACCCCTTTGTCTGAAGATGAATTTAATAAAGTGATCGAGCTTCTCGATCCCAAGAAAGAGAATAAAATAAACTATTTTCTCTATAAGGAAGTGCTTACAGAAGCCATTACCACACCAGAGCCCACCAGTACTCAGTGTATTTTTATCAAACGGTTGCCAACAACGAGCTATATGGAGAAGAAATTATGGAGAGTCTTTGTAAAGCGTGTGGATCACGTTATAAGTACTGCTCAGGCGTTGGGGGTCCGAGCACTTATAGATGCCGAGCAAACCTTTTACCAGCTTGCCATCGATGCCATTGTTGTGTATATGCAAAAGCGCTACAACAAGGATATACCTGTAGTTTACAATACGTACCAATGTTACCTAACCTACGCTGAGGATCGCGTCGCTAACGACTTGATTCGTGCCAAGAGACTTGGCTTCCAGTGGGGTGGTAAAGTCGTGCGTGGTGCGTACATGCTGCAAGAGGTGGTGACTGCCAAAGAATATGGTTATACCAGTCCCATTTGGCCTACCTATGAACAGACGAACAAGTGCTACTTCAACACATCGAACCGGATTATGGATAATCTACTGGCAAATCCTGGAACGAATTATGAGGCATTATTTGGGACCCACAATCGTGAATCACTAGAGTTAATAACTAATATGGTTTTGAAGAATCCTACGCTAGGCAAGCATGTGTCGTTTGGTCAGTTATTTGGCATGCGGGATAACCTTACGATTCCTCTTGCCAAAGCGAACTTTAAGGTCTACAAGTATGTTCCATACGGACCGGTAAGGGATTCTGTACATTATTTGATTCGTCGTGCGATTGAAAATTCATCCGTTTTATCTAACCCGAACAACCAAGAGGGAATAATGATTAAACGTGAAATACGGCGCAGATTCTTTTTACCTTAATTTTTTTATATGACGAAAATTGATGTTTTTATTACGATTGAAACCGTTTATTTTACCCAAAACGAACTTTTTTCATTTAGATCCTTAATCATTTTCTGAAAGAATATTATGTCTTACTACTCACTACAAATGATAATATACACCATTACAAATATATTTTTTTACAGCTTTACGTGTTTATGAAAATGAATTACATTAACAGTTTGTTTTACAAGGATTTTATATGCTTTAATTTATTTTCGTTAAGTCATTGTGCGAAAGATGGATACAATTGCACTAAATATAGTTTCGTGCTTACATTTAGGAAAGCAAGTTTTGTAGTGTTTCTTATATTTATTTTTATTTTTATTTTTAAAAATCTATTTTATTGTATGAAAGGAATAGGCAGATCACTTTTAAGCCACTATAGATTTAACAGATCTTTATAATTTATTTTTATGAACGTGGACAAATCAGTTATTATCAGTATTTATAGTCAAAAAATTTCAGAAATAATAACACTAGTGGTATCGATCTTGTTAATAATTTTTATGGAAAATTTAAGTCACTGTATTCGAGTCACTATCATAAGTATCCGATAGATAGATATCTGAAGGTGGTACTTACGTGTTCGGGATAATCTTTGCCTTTTAGAAACTAGCTTTTTTTCTTAAATATTAGTCTACTCTAAAGCTCTCCATACTATATATAAACATGAAAAATAAATTAGCTAAGTATATTTTTGCGCCATTAATAGATGCCAAAGGTATACGCAGTGATGGCTCTACTCTACTTCCTCCTTCGACCATCCAGAGGCCAAACAAGATCTCATATTCATCTACGACAATGTCGATGGGGGAAAAGAGAGAAAATCAGTACGCTAATTTTCTAAATCGAACCATTTTTACTATCATTATGGCTTATGTATTCCTCGCTTCTATTTCACTTGGTATTCTATCTGGAATCCCACTTGTCCTTACAATATCAGTTACCATGTTTTACGAAATTACGCGAATAAATCAAAAGGTTCGGAAGGAACGTCGACTTCAGTCTGTGCAATTTCTGAAATGGTACTTCTTGGTCGTTTGCATGGTCAACGTGACGCTCTCCAACTTGCGTCAACCTCTACTGGACACTTACCCATCACTACTTCCACTTTATGGTAAGTTGCCATTTTTGTCCTTCAGCTTTTTTGTGATGGGAATTGTGGGTTTCGTGCTCAGTTTGCGCAAGGGAATGTATCGATACCAGTTTATTCAACTCACATGGACAGCAATGACGCTCATGTTTGTTGCGGGACCGTGCATCGGGGGATTGAGAAATATGATTCGAGGCATGATTTGGTTTCTTCTCCCGGTTAGTTGTGTTATTAATAACGATATTTGGGCCTATGTCTTTGGCAAGCTCTTTGGTCACACCAAATTGCTTGCGCTTTCTCCCAAAAAAACCTTGGAAGGCTTCATAGGTTCCTTTTTGTTCACTGTTATTTGGTCTTTTTGGTTTTGTGGGTTCCTCAGTTACTTTCCCGTAATGTACTGTCCGGCTGTTGGCTTCACAAACAGCATCAATTCAGTATGTGAAAAGGATCCATTGTTTGTGCAAGTTGATGTGCAACTGCCATTGTGGGTACGGTGGATATCCGGAAACTATTTGCACAGCTTGAAGATGTCCCCTGCACAAAAGCATGCCATTGTGTTAGGATCCTTTGCTTCACTGTTAGCACCCTTTGGGGGCTTCTTTGCTAGTGGTCTAAAACGAGCGTTTAAACTTAAAGATTTTGGCGATCTTATCCCTGGCCATGGTGGAATGACGGATCGAATGGATTGCCAGGGCATCATGAGTCTTTTCACTTATTTTTACCTGCGAACATACGTTTATTGTGAAGCCAAGTGTCCTACTCCCAGTGAAATAACTCGTTGCGCGTTGAACATGGGCGTCGACAGTCGCATGAGCCTTTTTAAGGAACTAGAACACTCGTTACAAGGCTGATTGGTTTGTTTAGTTAGTGCAGCACAGAGAAACACCTAGTGGCAAGTTAATGAATAAATTGCGAGCATATTCAACCTCTTCAACATAGTCTGACTATTTCTATTTTCCGCTTATACACACCCCGCAAATTGATTTCCGTGTAAAATGATGACCTAAAGTTCTCTTATAGGATTATGTATTCATTGAGCACCATAATCATCCCCCATGGACGTGTGCGTCTGATGGCCGATTCAACACTTCTTGGAATTTTATTTTCTTGATGTGTCTAACCGAATCCCTTAATGTTCTTCCCTTCATTTTTTTAATAGTTCCTTCCAATTTAGGGGAAACATGACTGACGTGAAGAAAGAAAGCAAGAAGGCCGAGGATGTCGTCGCGCAGACCGACGAGGCTCAGGTCGGGCTTGTGATTAAGATTCTCGGTCGCACTGGCTCCCGCGGCGAGGTGAGTCAGGTTCGTGTTCGCCTGATGGCCCCCGCTGGCTCCCCTGATGCAAACCGCACCATCGTGCGCAACGTCAAAGGGCCATGCAATGAAAATGACATGCTGTCCCTGATGGAAACCGAACGTGAGGCACGCCGCTTGAACTAATGAACGTATTGTAATTCTGCTCGAGTTCAACACCTGTTTTCGCTTCACCTACATATTTTTTCCTTTTCGAATAACCAAAATATTGTTATTGCTATCTTTGCCTGTTGCTGCACCCATTGTGGGTAGAATTCCATGTTCTGATTTGACATTCACCCTTATTTTTCCACTCTTATTTTTTTTCCATTTTCTAAAGCCTTTATTCTCATGAGTGACGTGAAGAAAGAAAGCAAGAAGGCCGAGGATGTCGTCGCGCAGACCGACGAGGCTCAGGTCGGGCTTGTGATTAAGATTCTCGGTCGCACTGGCTCCCGCGGCGAGGTGAGTCAGGTTCGTGTTCGCCTGATGGCCCCCGCTGGCTCCCCTGATGCAAACCGCACCATCGTGCGCAACGTCAAAGGGCCATGCAATGAAAATGACATGCTGTCCCTGATGGAAACCGAACGTGAGGCACGCCGCTTGAACTAAAAAGTCCGCTGCTTCCGTGAGTTTAGGGCATTTTTTCCTTACGTTTTATTTAGGATTTAATTAATAATCTGATTTTACTATAAATGTTTTTAATAGTATGAATTTCTATGTAAGTTTGTTTATTATGAAATTTTATTTTACTTTATTTCGATGTTTCGCTCTGCTCCTACTTTATTTTCATTTTTAATGTACATACATTACAGACGCTTTTGCTTAAACAATTACTTATTCATATCTTAATAGTACCATGGATCTTTCAGTGGAGGAGCTAATCCAAGATTTAACCATACTTCAGCAGGCAACGTCTCTGAACCATGCAGATAAAAATAGTGAAGCTGTGAAGATGTACACAACAGCTCTGGACCGTCTAGATGCGTTGATACCCAACCTTCCGTCTGAATTAGCACTTCTTGTGCGCCGAAACACCGAGGATGTAGGGCGAATAGTGAACCTGCTTCGGAGTTCGAGCAGCAAGCAAGAAGAGGTTAGCTTGTACCCTACATTTCCCATTCAGTTTTCGCCCGCTTCTATACCTCTAGAGGACTACCAAGCTCCTGAACAGCCTATTTTCCGTGTTTACTGGCTTATGCGTTTGCTCATGCGGTCTATCCAGAGTGGAGCCTTCTTAACGCCTAATTTGTACGTCTTCAGAGAGGTGTGGCATCAGGATGGCGGTTCTAATTCGTTGTGTTTTATTGAAGCAAAGACGTGTTATTTCTCGTCGTTATGTAGCGCGATGGAACCATTGACCTCAATGTGCATGCCTGGGGATGCGCCAAAGGTTTTAAAAGCGCTTCAAAAGTTTCTGTCTAGTGAAGAGGAGCTGTGCGAGACCCTTAATCGCAGCATGGGAAAGCGTAAGATGGCTAAGCCAGCTAAGAAAATGATGTGGGGCCTCTTTTCGAAGATGAAAAAGTGGGGACACCAGGAGGGAGACATCGAGGTGGCTCTCTCATGGGCTTGCAATGTGCTTGAACAGGCTCAGCTATTTGAGCATTGGTATATTTACTTTACACAAGCCACTCTTTTCAGGAATCATATGCCACTACAAGTGAAAGAAATCATCGAAACTATACAGCATATTACTACGCGACTCTATAAAGGTCCATGCATTTTATTACTGAAAGACATGTTCATCCTTGTGCAGCGCTTTCAGTGTAAATGCCGCAAGAGTATTGTCCATTTTTTACCTGTTGGAGTGGAATTAGATGGAACTAGTTACTAAGTTGTGCTATTTTCGAATAGGATGCTGCATGCCTAGCCCCAGGGCAACGACAGATGTGAAACGAGCATCTCGGTAAGGTAAAAGCGAATCAAAATTAGATAGTTTCAGTTTCGACGGGGCACTTTTAACACACACTGGTTTTAAAGGGTAGTTTTCTATTGCATTGGCTTTTTTTTCGTGTTGAGTAATGCTCCATGATAATCGATATACAAGATAATAGAGTATGGTTTAACAATTGTCGTTTGGTTTGGGACCGGTCAACATCCAGTTGAGATGGTTAAGCCTTAAAAACAAACAAACAGCTAATGACATTTCAAAACCTAATGACTCCTCCTTCTAAACTTAGTTTTTTTTCGACCCCCCAGGACAGAGCCTTTGGCTGAGAATCATAATTTTCAAGATTTCTCCCTGTTTTGCTTCTAATTCATGGGCGAGAGTCATGAAGGGGATGGACCCAGCCTTGCACACATCCTCACCCAAGGGGGTTATTTTCTGTTTCTCCCAAAGCATTCCGGACTTCTGGGTCCTGCCTGGGGATGGGGGATGACACCCCTGTGAAAAAGAAAGCTCGCAACAGTCATATGTGGAATGTGCCAAGGGACTGATATCATTCCTGTACCACCACATAGCGATAGTATAGCTTGAGGTGAGGGGACTAAGTCTTCACAGTTTTTTTTCCACAAGATGGGTTGCGGGATGGTCGCCACGTCAATCAAATCAAGGCTAGAGCCCCGACTGCAGCGACTGAGACCGCATTCTTCCTTTAGCCGCCCTTTCGGCAATATTATAGTGCATATGTCCTCAAGAAATGGTTTGTTATAATGAGTAAAAAATACGCGCTAATAACTGTGGTCGAATAAATTTTAACAAGTAGCACCTAGTATTCCCTTAAAGTGGAATGATGACATTTTTATGTAGACGTAAGGGAATATATAGCTAAAGTTACATCTTCGAGGAAAAAAAAGGGGGGAAATAGTAGCACCACTATTAACTTACAAGCGCAAATAGCTAAGAAAATTTCCATTACTTGTACTTACGCAGTGAAACAAAAGTAATATGTAAAAGTTGGGATACTATTGACTAAATTACATTCAACGGATGAAAATGTGGTGCTCAAGGTCCTGAGCGCGGCCTCTACGATCAATCATACATGATCCTCATTGTGGATCTGTTATCTCTTCTAACGAATGCTGTTCGATGACCGGGGACTGGTTCCCCCGACACGATGGTCGACTTCCGGTGAGGGCCCCACAGAACGAGATCCCCGCCGGGCTCAGCGGCCGCCCCACCGCGTCAATGGGCAAACTCTCCAGCTTCGCCAGGACGGAGAGGCCGCTGACGATCTTCCCGAAGACCACCTGGCGGAAGTCCAGCCCGGGGGAGGGCGCGAGGGTGATGCCGAAGGTGTAGTTCGCGGTGTGGGGCCCGTAGGCGATCATCGTCAGCAGCCCCCGCTCCGCGTGTCGCAGGGCGAAGTTCTCGTCCGGGATGGGCGCCACCTCCGCCACGTTGCGCTCCCCGAAGACCAGCAGCCGGCGGGGGTGGTCGATGAGACTGAGGGGGCAGTGGAGGTAGTCCCGCGCCGTCCCGGTCCCGGCGCTCCCGGTGACGAGGGCGCAGAAGTGCCCCACCGTGGCCGGGACGACCTGGTCGAAGAGCTCCACCACCAGCCGCCCGATCAGGACGTCGCCGATGGCGAGGTCGAGAAAGGCGCAGCTCCCGTTCCGCACCTCCGCGGAGCGGTTGCTGCGCTGGTAGTTCTCCCACTCCTTCAGTCGGCGCTCCTCGATGTCGTGGTAGCGCTGCTGCCGCACCGCCTCCGCGGCGGCGGCGGCCAGAGTCTCCAAATACTCTTTTTTTGCCTTTCCCTGCCGGAGCGGCATCCAGCGGGACACAGCTGCTTGGGTAAATGAATCTTCAAAACGAAAAAAGAAGGGGGGGATAAAGAATAAGTTTGTGGGATAAATAAAAAGTTCGCAGGGCCTTTGATCCAGTCTCACTCACGGTGATGTGGGAAACATAGCTCGCTAATAAGATGCACCGAAGGGATCAATCCTTCAGGCACGTTTTCTCCTTTACTTCTTATCATTTTTTGAATCCACAGATCGAAGCCAGGCGGCATAGGCCTCATTCACGTGCTTGTTGGACCCCTGAAGCGTAATAAATTTTTTCTCAAAATCCATAAACTTCTTTCGTGTGATCCTGCCGTACTGCGGCGTCCCGATCGTTTGTTGGGCCAGCTTTTCGCGCGTCACGTACTTCGCGGAGTCCTCGCAGAAGCGGTCGTTCATCCAGTTGTCCTCCATATGCCGTTTGCGGAGGTGGGAGTAGGGGTCCTCACGGAGCGATGGCGGGATCAACGCGTTTTCCAGAAGTTTTATCGCCTCATAGGAAATAAACTTCGCGACGGTGTCGTCGCTGGGCCGATAACGACGATACCACGGCGTCCGCTGGAACTCCTCCACGGTGGACCACGCGTTCAGCGAGGCGCGGCTCCCAAGCGCCTTCCGCTCAAAAATCTGATCCAATTCACGTTGTATTTCCGTCTCGCTCCATTGGTGTTTCTGCAAAACATCTCGAACGACCCCCTCCATTCTGTCAGAGAGTTTGTAGGCGCATTGCCAGGAATCTTCCCGCGCGACCGGACGGGGATTCCCGGTGAGGACCGGGATATCCTGCATTTTATGACCAAACCCTAATTCCTTGCCAAAACGCTGGGACGAGTCGAAGGTCCGCACGGAAACCGGGCTGATCAACTCGTTAAGATGTATTCGACGCATTCATTTCCATGCTAAAAGTAAATAAATAAACAGAGTAAGCAAAACAATTCGTTAATTTGTAATAGAATTCGCTACTATCCCTTCTTTATTTCCTCTTCAAGACCGTGAAAAGAGCGACACATCTTGGGCTTATGTACGTTCTAAAAAATTGACAGACCTACTTGTCATACACCGCCACTGGTACTTCGGTTTCCGCCTATACAGCTTTTTTATTGTACTCTAATATATCAACATCGATGCATGTAATGACTAAAACAATGTAGCGATCCATGAAAAAACAGCATTTTTAAAAGTTCATTAAGGAACTCACCAGTTTCGGCATACGTTTTTTACCAATCATTGCCACTATCAGCGCTTCGACTCCACCACAATATAGAACCTGAAAAGGGGACAATACCCGTAAATATGGCTAGCTCAACCCCAGGCGATGCCCATTTCCTTTTTTGCTGGCCACTATAACATAAATATACGATGGTTATAGCAGCTAGACTAGAGCTTAGCATGCATAGCCACGAAATAAAGAGGACAACCTTGGCCTTGCCTCGATCTTCTCTGATATCAGAGGGTGTGACCAGCATAAACAGTAGGAAACCCACAACGGAAAAAATCGGTGGAATACACAACGAAAAAGATAGGCCATTTGCAGGAACGACTTCTTTTTGTGCGAAAATAATACCTTCAATCAAGAACATACATGCGATACCAAAGATAATACCCGCAATGGTGGCCGGCGAAACGAGTTTTAAAAAGGACATCTTTACGGAATCGCTCCCAAAAATGTAAACCTAAAGGAATGATCAAAGTAAAAAAGACAAATAGGAAACGAGAAATTAAGAACAAGTAAAATAGTTCATTTTCGAGCGAAATAATAAACATGAATGGTTATAGCACTGAATAAAGGCAAGGGATGCACTTTCGTAAGGAGTTTTATATTTCTTAAGTTATAGATATATTTATCAGCTTACGTATGGAAGAAAATCAAAACAACAAAATAATCACCATTTTCTTATTTATAAACTACTCCTCTGAAATTGGCATATCGGGCCCTTTGGGAGGGAAAAAAAAGTAACAACCATGCATACGAACTACGGGAGGGGGAGGGGGGGTACAAAATTAAAGGTCAACCCAAAGCATCCACCTACGAATTACATGTCCACTGTCATCTCATCAATAAGCCGCGTGAGATTTGCATTTATGAAGTCGGTTTCGTCCTCCTCTGAGGGGCTTGACGTGACCGATCCTTCGTCCGCGAGGTTTTGATAAGAAATTCGGACCGATTCGAGCTTCTTTTCCTGCACTTTCACCTTCTGCTGGGCAGACTGCACCTTGTCTACAATTCCTTTGAGTTCCTGGGTGAGCTTTTCGGCATGTATCTTCGCTTCCTTTGCGTCGTGTGTGAGCTGTTGCCTTTCCTGATTCAGTTCAACATTCTCTTTCTTCAGCTTTTCAAGCTTCTTCATCATTTCCGCGGTTTGCTCCTGAGCATGTCGAATCTTGTCGAGTTCCATCTGTCGTTCCTGCTCTTCCCGTCGCTCGCGGTCCGCCAGTTCTTTCAAAACCCGCTTCGTTTCTTGCCGTAAGCGCTCTGACAAATCATGATATGCCTTAATCCCTCGTTGTGCGATATCTTTTCGGGTTCGTTCTTCCTCTTTAATAGTTTTATTAAGGTCTTGCTTTATTTTCTTCCGGAGGTTCTCGGTTTTCTCGTCCTCCAGAAGCTGCCGGACCGCGGCTTCATCGACGATGGGGGCGGGGGCTTTTTTTTCCTTTTGCGGGGCCGACTTCTCGCGCGCCACAGCCGGTTTGAGCGGCTCCACGAGGACGATGCCGACCTGGATAAGAATGCTATCCGTCTCGGGGTTCACAAACCCCTGCTCGAGGTTCATCAGGTCGTTAAACTTGATGACGTTGTTAAAGCCCCAGTCATTTTCCTGCGAGACCGCGGAGAAGCTTTGGGTGCCCTCATTGCAGATTGAATCGTCCTGGTTGGTCTGGTTGATGACGGTGATGAGAAACTTGCAGTGAACGCTGCCGGTTTGGCAAAGATACAGCGCGAGGGATTCTTTGTTTGTCATGCATAATAAACTCCATTTGAGCTGGGCAAAGCTGAATTCGGGGGAATAATGCCGATCCGACTCCCGGGCCAACATCGAAATATTGAGGACTTCGAAGGAGATGAAGCCCATATCCCCTTTGGTGTACATCCCATCCACCGGGACGGCGAATTTCACACGCTTTTGCTTTGCTTTGGACATTTTCGCGCGAAGTCGCTCGCGCGGAAACGCGGAGAAGACGATGGCCTCACAAAACGTTTCCGTGGAGTTTGATTCGGGTAGTTCAATATTCAACTCGGTGACGATTTTCTTCAGCGGCTTCAGCCGCAAATTCGTCAGGACAGATAGAAAGCCCATGGCGACGATGCGCTCCCACATATCCACCACCGGGGGTTTCTCCTCTGGAAGTCCGAGAATATTCCCCAAGGTCTGTTTGAGGTTGTCAGGGAGGGTATTCAAAAAGTCAATGCTGGCGGTTGTGGGTAAGGTGCCGGTTTGCACATGCGTGGTAACGTCGTCGATAATTTTTTGACGATCCATCAAAGCGCATGCTTTTTCGCAGCCCAGTCGAACCGCGGTCTTGGCGATTTGCGGGACAAACTCGTCGTGAGGGGAGGAGGGCCGCAGCTTCGCCTTCGCGCTTTCCCCTACTTTTTTCAGCGAATCCAGTGATAGGGGTTTTAAAAATTCAATCAAATGATCCACTGCGTCCCCGCACTCCGAGGAATTTCCCAAGGACGGAATGACAGTTGTTTTGCCCTCATCATCCGAGGAGGAAGAGGTGGAGGGGGATGGGGTCTCCACTGTGGTGCGGTGCTGGAGGGCCTTGCGGCTTGGAAAAATGCTATGCGAGGACCGTACGGTGAGCCGGGGCGCGGGAAAGGGCCCAATAGTCCGATAAACGTTATTTTTCTCATCCAGGACTTTCTTTTCATTGAGCAACATTTCCTCCTCCTCGCGGCGCTTCTTCTTTACTTCGTCCCGTTTGCGTTGTTTGGGGTCGGAGTCCCGGGTATTCGAGTGGCTATTGCTGCTGCTGTGAGTCTCGATGTCATCTACGTCATCCTCGGCGTAGATGTCGTCCTGCATGAGTTGATATTCCCCTTCATCAGTGGCGATGTGGAATTCACTTCCGCTTTGGTTTATGCGCTCGTGCGGGGCGTTTCGATGCACGGCTGAGATGAGGCTATCCGTCACGACTTTATAAAGTTCTCCCAACACCGCGGTGTACTCCGGGAACTCCACGTTTTCCATTGAGGCAATCAACTCCCCCCTCAGCGTCTCCATCATCGCCGTCCCAGCCTTGGAGGCGATACCACCGTCCAAGACCTGCTGGTAGAGCGTGGAGCGGTAAAACCGCAGGTCCTGCGGGGCTAGTTCATTTGTCGTTGGCATTCTTCTCCCCTAAGGACGTCCGCGCTTTCAGTCGATTGTCGGACAAACAAAAAGCAGAAAAAAAACTGTGACAATAGGGCGTTGAATAGACAGGAATCGGTATTATCAAATACCCATACAATCTATCACGTTTTTAAGTTTTTAATTTTCGATGATTTTGCAATTATTTACCTTGATTGACTATAGTTGTCGATAGCGTTTTTTTTTTAAAGAGTGAAATGAAAGCAGAAGGGATGATGTGAATTTTAAAAGTAAAGGTGTTTTTATTATTACAGTGTGTGGTAAAAGTTGAGGAGTAGGATATTGGTGAATTCACCAGTTTCCCTTATAAAGCACTTTTTGAGAAGTTCAAGACCAAACTCATTCCCTTAGTCGTGCATTATACAAACAAGAATATCAATATCCTTGTACGCGAAGAATAGAAACCCCACTGATTCTGCGTAAGATCAAAGTCATCCTTGAGAACCTTCGTTTGATTTGTCTTGGATATACCTTGTGGTTGGGTTAGCGTACGACTCCTCGAGATGCTTATCCATGGCATCATTAGAAGGCGGGAGGGCAGTCTTGGTATCGACTGTTTCGTACCACCACATGAAGTTCACTTTTCCGTTAAGATCGGTATAGGGCAGGTAGTCAATTTCCGTTCGCTGGAAATGCCTAAGATGGGTCGCGACCTCGGCGATTTGCTCAGTAAGCCGTTCGAGATGCCGTTTTTTGGTTTCCTGATCCATGGCTTCAAACCCCCTGGAGAGATTCGCCGTTTCGTCCGCGGCGGGCCTCTGCTTTAGGCCCTGTTCAATTCCAGAATTCCTCGTCACCACGAGGCTCCGGACCTCCTCGTAGCGTTCTCGCGTGAGGTGGCATAACCAGTGGTGGGTGATCGGATCCATCTCGAAGCTAATAAAGCCCTCACTTCGGGCCTGTTGGAGGACCTCGCGAAGATGGAGTTTGCTGTCCAGCACGATCTGTGGGTCCTCTACGCAATGCCCCCAGAGTGCCCCGACCTCGCAGGGCTGGTGGCGATAAAGAACGGAGAGAACGAAGGCCTTTGGGATCGCTCCTGTATCCCTGGGGAGTGCCTTTGCCTTTAGACGTTGTTCCGGGGTGAAGGCGAAGTTTTCGGGCACCTTTTGTGAGGGCCAGTGCTTCATCTTCGCGGCGTTGTAAGACACCCCCCTGGGGAGGTTAGCGCCTGTTTGGAAACGGTCCCAAATGGCCCGTCGCATTTGTTACAAAAAGGGTCGTGGGAGACTGTAACAATAGTAGAATAAAAGTAAAAAAAGAGGACCGAATAAGTCAAAACCAAGAGTAAGGAAAGCAATCCAGGGTGCACTATCCCAACCATTCTCCTTGTGTGGAAGGGGACTCGCACGACAATTCTTTTTTTTCTCCTCCTCCCTCCTGCAAACCACATCAACAAACATATATTTATGTTAAATGTGTACAAGGGAAATATAAAATAGGCTAGGACGGTGCGTTTATTGAAACAATATGACGCACTCATTGTTTTAGTATAGAATACAAAGGATTTTTTTTTCGGCAATACATTTATGGGAGCTGCCGATCAAAGCAGAAGGAAAGTCGTTTTCGTATGTCCTCAGGCGGTGTTAAGAGGGAAGGATTCGGTGGTAGGGAGGCTATTGTAGCTACGTACTTCATGCACAAGAGGTCCGCACCTGCCAAGGCTTGAGTGGGGGATATTTTTAGCGTCTTCACAATGTGCTGAATAATTGTCTTTTTTCCCTTTAATTCACTAGAACCCAAAAGACACAGCGCGAGGCCTAGAACTCCGAGAGCGTTGACATGGCATCGCAATCGAAGGAATTCGACATGCAGAACGATGTTTTGCATCAGAAAATTACATAAATCTAGAAAATTATAGTTAACCAAGCGCAGAAAAGTGTAGCCATCGTTTTCTACGAAAATTGATGCCATTTGGGATGTTGTCAGGGATAAATAGAGGCGAATCTCGCCGTTTTCGTCACCTGGAAGTCCCTTAATTTTCGTGTTCCACTTCAGGTTCTGCGCGAGCAAAAAGTCATCGCCGAATAATTGATATACTTCAAGCAAAGATGTTGTGGGTATTTTGTCCACCATACATAGCTGCGGTATTACCTCTTTAATTGTGGCATTCATATCAAGAGAAATACTGCCCCATATCCACCGGTGATTTTGATCAATGCTAAGCAGCTTTACCAACACTGAGTTCGCTTTTTGTTTAAATTTTTCGTGTACCTCTTTTAATACCACCAATGACGCGGTACTAATCATATGTATCTGCAGATAGAGATGATTAACGATGGTTGTGTGAGGGATACGCCATTTGAACATGTGGAGGATGCTCTCCTCCATATCGAGAACTTGATCTGCACCGTAGGCTCCATCGCAAACTCCCACAATTTTAGAGATGCCTGGCAAGTCCGTGTCCACCTCTTCAAACTTCGCTGCCACCCACAAACACGCCACGGCCGCAAGCTGACAGTTGTCAATCCCGATGGTGCGCATGTTTCCTAGTAAGTAGATGTCGGTCAGCTGGATGGATAAACACAATGTAGTGCTTTTCAGATGAAATGCGGCACACACATCGCGCAGCCACTGCGTGATAATCTTTCGATTTTTGTAACTGTAAATGGAGGACTTCATGATACTGAGGTCCTCCACAGGATTCGCCTCAGTGGTTTTCATAGACTCAAAAATCGTGATGTCATCACGTGCCCATGCGCCGGGATGAGAGCGGTAGTCGATGGCATCGGGGGGGCCGAAATGCTGCTTACTAGAGTCCAAGGTGAGTGTTGTTCGTATATACAAGTCCGTCATTGTCGTGCCGTCTTGCGACATAAAGGCTTTGTCACTTTTTTTCAAATCCATTTTATTTGATCGAATCTATTTATTTGATCTTTACATTGTATAAAAAGAGTTTGAACAAACGATAACGTAAGGGGCACTAATCATCACGACATACATGGTGCCAACTTTAAATAGTGATGAGTTATTATTATTATTACTACTGACAGTATTATAGGGGTAAATACAGTTTAGCATAAGGAGAATATCTACCATTATCATAATAGGGAAAATAATAGCAGAAGCATAAGATAGTTTCATATATATTTATCTAAAGAAAGCTCCAAATATCTTTTGAATTATATATTCTATCGAGCAAAGGCTTGCGTACTGAGATGGGCGAATTCGACTGTCACTGCCACATTTAGATCATAATACGATGCCCAAGTGAGTGCGCAGATAACCTTTTGATATATTTTGCGGTATTTCAGATCATTGGTAGTTTGTTTATATATACCATGGCAAACTTATACATTTATGGAAACAACGATACATTAAGCTGATTTGAGCGATGCGCTTGAAATGGGGCGGCCTGTACCAATATTTTGGTTACTTTATTAGGGGTTGTCCACTTAGAGAGAGCAAAAATGCGCAAGGATTTACCTCTATTTGATCCAGAAACGAATACGTCGTGCCAAAGTCGAGATATTGCCTGCCGGAATAGTGTCCATCGCACAGAATTGAGGTAAGGAGAATAATCCGACATATTTTAGTGAAAGAACATACAAAAAATCATGACTCATGTGAGGTGAAACGATAGCGGAAATAACATCAAAAAAAAATAATAAAGAATAAATAGCTTTGTATTTTTCTATAGAATGTTGAGGAAGTCTTGAGTGCCTAGCTGCATCATGCGAAGGATAAAATCTCGAGCGTGTCCAGATAGATGTATTATACAACCAGCGAGAAAAGGTCGAAATGTAGTAAAATGACCAAAGGAGGTCAGCCTTTGGAATCACATCTGCTGAGATACACAAGGCATATTGACCTTTTTGTCCTTCTCTTTTTGAACTACATTTGCCAACGTTCGCATCGCATGTTACTCAAAAAGGACCACTGGATGGCAAAGAGACATAAAAAAGAGAAAAAAAGGCGCAGTATAGAATTTTACGATTTGGACCTGAGGCAGGAAAGAGAAAGAGAGGGGTGGCGAAAGCACTGGCGATGGATCCGTGCGGAACCGTTTCTTGAGCAGGAGTACACCGCTCTCCAAAGGTTGGATTATCCATTTCACAGGAGTATTGCAGTAATACATAAGTGCCGAACCCAATAGACTCTAGATAGGGTTTTTTTTCCTTTTTTTTAAAAAATTCTCGTCGTGTAATTTTTTTCCTTATATCTTTTATGGATCAAGACTTAAAATGTCGCCCGGCCTCAAATTGATTCCCCACACATATACCTATATAAATAAGTATATCGAATATATTGCATATATACGCCTTTTTAAAAAATTCGCCATGTCCTTTCGACAGACGATTATTGTCAGGCTATGAATTCCTGCCCTTTTACTTTGTTTGATAAGTCATCCTAACATATTCCTACTAGACATCACCTTAGTTTGTTCGAAACCTGTCGAGCTGAGCGTCCAGTTGTTCACGTGTAGGGACCTTATCGCGCGCGGGGCGTCCTTTCCTTTGGTTAGCACCCCGTTCGTTTGGTCCATCCTGGTTGTGCCCATTCCCGCGTCCCCTCGTCTGGCGCGGACGCTGGCGTTGACGGAACCGCAGGCGGCCTCGCGCGGCCTCACCGAGGCGGCCACGCCCGTCACTCACGCGGCCGCGCCGCCCCCCGCGGCGGTCTCCCCGGCCCCGCTCCCGCAGAATTTCCCGTTCGTCGTCATCGTCGCGTCGGAAGCGGTCGCGGTTGCCGCGGCGGAAGATCGTGCGGCTTCGGAAGATCTGCCGCGGGGGAAGCCGCGTCACACGGCGAATGACCTGGCGGACCTGCACCCCGCCGCGGCCAAAGCCCTCTGTTCGCGTGCGGCGCTCACTGACGATGAACTGCCGAGGGGCGAAAGGCTCGGCTTCACTGCTCCGACGACGATCCCTGGCGTCGGCCATCGCTGTCACGCGTCGCTTGTTGCGGTCATACAGCCCACGCAGCCGGCGACGGTTTAAGTCGTCATTTGCCAGTTCTCGTTTCATCTTGGCTTTTTGCGTTTTTCCACCGTTGTGTGTGATTGTTACAAAAAAGAGAAAAATATCTCGAAGGGAATTCACAAAGGGTGGTATCGGTTTTGCTGTCCAATTGTGCTAGTTAATAATCTAGAGGGGTATGTGTGTGTGAAGAGAAGGGGGGGAGGGGGGGGAGAGAAAGAGCAATGTCACAATACCAGAGAATAGGTAGTTTGTCGGACACATATTAAATGACTACCCACCAAATTGGGTGGATATTGATATTCTGCAAGGAACAGGTGTACTGGTAGCTTTTTTTTATTTTGAAGAAGTAAAAGGAATAGTAATGAAAAGGACATCTACTTAAGAGATATGAACAGAGTTAGATTAGGTTCTGTATATATATCACGTTGCGATCTAAAAATGAAAAAATGAAATTTATGGTCTATGAAGAGAAACGTTTTTTTAATCTTGAGTGAGTAGATGTCGAGCAGTTAAGTCGTGAAGATAATAATAGTAAAAATAACGCCTCTGAGATTTGCAATATAACTAGTCAATAACAACACAAAAATGTTGATATATATATATATATATATATATATATATA